TATGTATATATATATATATACATACATATATATATAAATTGTTAAAAGGGTAATTTTATGTTATATGTATTTTTCACCTTTTTAAGGCACAATAAGTGTGAACTCAATAAAAATATTTTGATAGGAAAAATCATGTCATTTTGAAGCAATGAAATGGATTTTTTTAAAACGAATAAGTACTACCATTACCAACCTCTCTTATCTTCACTTGAACCAAATCATATAGTAAGTCCTCACTTAATATTGTCAACAGTCATTTCAATCAGTATCCACAGGGATTATTTTTCTCTCACAAATGTTATAATGAAATGTCATTTTTCAAGGACCTGCTCAACACTGAGTGATCTGAAAACTGGGGAAAGGAAGAGGAACTATAACCCTTACCTTACAATTCCATCACTCTCATCCCACTGTTTTAATTGAAAAAAAAAATCCAAATTTTATTGATGTATCATTTAGAGTAGGCATCAACACAGTTTCAACACATATTCCTAAGAGTAAAAATAAAATTTTAGTATTCTTTTGACCAAAATTACCTATAGCTCATCCTGAGCCAACAGTATTATGTAGCCTCATGTACTTTTAAGCTGCATTAGTATTTTTACAAATGTCTTCTGGATTGGTCAGATTACTACAATCAGTATTATGTCTGACTTAGGGGAATTTTAGAGAAATAAGAATGACTCTAGACAAATCAACAAGATGATAATGAATCAGAAAAAACATGTCATATGAAAGGGCTAGGTATGTTTCTCCTGAAAAACAGCCAACCAAATCCAGAATCATTATCTCTACCTTCAGATATGAAGGGACTGAAATATAAAAAAAGAGTTTTATGGCAATATGAATCAATTACAGAAGGAAAGATTTCAAGTTCACATTTTAAAAATACTTCTCATGATTTAGAGTTGCCCAGCCAACTTGCTTATGGAAGGTTTACTTCCAATGGCAGGAAATTTTTAAGATGATAGGTAACTTACACATTCTGGAGAATGATGTAGAAAATGTCTTTATGATGTTCTCTGAGACTTTTTTGGTTTTGTTTTTACATTGTGGGACTCTAAGAAACCTACTTTAAAAACCACTGATCAAGCAGCCTGATGAAAAAATTTACTGGGCCTCTCTGGTTGCCTAGAAGTTAAATCTCAGAACTTTTACTACTACAGCCTGAATTCGATCCTGAGGTAGGGAGCTAACCCACATAATGGGTACAACATCTTCTCCTGTCTTGCCCAATGCTTCCCCTTAGCAGAGTATTTCAATCTGCCTGTTCTGTTCCCCACTCTGTCTCTGGTACATACTGTCACTTCCCCCATCCTCACCTTGTCCTACACCCCAGTTCTTCTAAGCAAAAAATAAATTAATTAAAATTTAAATATGAAAGAAAAGAAAAAAAATCTAGTTACTCCAATGTCCATGTTCTGTTTTAATCATTCAGTGTATAAAATAGGAGTCATTGAAAAATTCTGAATTGGAGAATGACATGGCTTGATTTTGTCTTAGGAAATGACTATGTTATCAATATGAAACTAAAATCAAAATTGGATGAAGTAGGGAAACCAATATAGAGATTGCTGCAAGAAATGAGCTTCTAAAGTAAGACCATAATAATGATGGACAGAGAGGTAGAATTAAAAAGACTATGAAAGAGTTTGATACAATGGAAAAAGAGGAATCTGAGTTAATTTTCAACTTCAGCACTTTGGGGATCCAGTAAGTAAAGTTGATTTTGGCAGATAGTGAACATGTGGAGAAACAGCAGGTTTGACCAGAAAGTTCTTACATTTAGCTGGGTAAGTTTAAAGTAAGTCTAACTCATGTCAGATCAAGTGTGCAATGGAAAAATCAGAGCTAGAATTTAGGAACCACATCTGGCCTGGAGAAATAAAGTTGGGAGTCATAGATAAATAATACATATGATGAGCAAAACCATGGGAGAAGAGAAGAGGCAGAATCGTCTTGGAAGAAAGACTATGATTAAGTAGAGTAGTATGGTATGAGAGCAACCTGGGTAAATCTCTGCTGCTTCTTGCAACTCAGAATGGTGCACAATAAAATTAACAATTCAGGAGAACATGTTAAAAAAAACAACTCAGATATTAAAAATTTCAAATATATGTGAAATGATTTTTAATAAAATTATGATGAATATTACAAAATTCTGAAATGTTTCTGTAGTCTCAAGGATATCGTGACTTCTCAGTAGTTGAATTTTTATTTGGACTGGGCATTTTTGTTTATTCATTATTGTTTTGTTTTGTTCTTCATAAATAAAATGGACTATGTTAGCCTTGAATTTGACCAGTGCAAATTTATTATTTATTATTTTGCTTAATTAAAAAAAAAATCATACTTCCTTAAATGTAAGAACTTATACCTCTTTTGCTCTTTGTTTACCTCAGGAAATGCAACTTCACCACAAGTACAAAGACCATCTTTCATGGATTATTTTGATAAACAAGATTTCAAGAATAAAAGTCATGAAAACTGTAATCAGAACATGCACGAACCCTTCCCCATGTCCAAAAATGTTTTTCCAGATAACTGGAAAGTCCCTCAAGATGGAGATTTTGATTTTGTAAGTACATTTTGATTTTTACATTTATGCTTTCTCCTTTATTTTATCATCATATTAAGAAACAGTGCATGTATGTGAAAGTATATAAAATTACAGACTGAACATTTAGTGTATAGCCATGTATATTGGTAAAGGAATTTTGATATTGCCATTTGCTTGTAGAAATGTACTTGCAAAGAAGTAATAGTTGCTTATAGTTAAATATACCCATATTTAGAGAAAAATAGGACTCTTTAAAATGACTACTATTTCAAAAAGTATTTTGTTTTTAAGGTTTATTTATTTATTTGTACATATAGAATTGGGGTACAGGCCAGAGAACTCAGGGGCGGTGAGAGGCTTCACCAGAGACAGAGTGGGTAGCAGAACAGGCAGATCCATGAAGTACACTGCCTAGGGAAGCAGCGGGCGGGTCAGGAGAGGTCTGCCACATCATGTGTTCACCTCCGGGGCAGGCAGGGATCGAACTCATGCGGAAGTGGCTTTAGCTTCTCAGTGCAGTGCTTTAACCTGCTGCGCCACCAGGGAGGGCCTCAAAAAGTATTTTTAATAATGCAATCACAGTATGCGATTCATCAGACAGGTTTCAGGTCCCAAAACAAATGATGCAAAGGTTTATATGTATAGTTTTTGAACATTTTGCCTCAATTTTGAAGTTAACTAAAAATAGTTTCTACTTAAGCACTAATTTCACTTGGTTTGGCAGAAATAATAGCCCTGTTCAGATCTAATTGCTATATAAACTTCAGTATAAAACGGCCTTATTTCCTCTTTTGTTTCATCTTCTCTTTATTTCTTCTGCCCTGTTCCTTATCATTTACTTCTTTTAAAGAATTCATATAGTAAATAATTTTAAAGCAACTGACTTCTACAACTTGAGAGAATAATTTCGCAAAATGAGTTCTTCAGTGGAGTAGACATATTTGTGAAGTGAATTTTACTTCACAAAAATTTACCATGTTTTAAATAGTGTTTACTTTTGCACATAGAGGTATATGATTTTTTTGTATATAATGACAGCAATCCAGTATAGCTATATTTATTAACAAATGCATTTATATATTATATATATGAGTTAATAAAAGTTTAAACATACATCTCTGAAGTTTTTAAGTAGTATTAAACCATTTTGCTTATTCATGCCTTTACATGTTTTGGAAAATATAAATATTTCTAGTGGTAAGTGCTTTTCTTCTAAATATTGTCATTATTAGTTTTAACTAACCAGGTAATAAAGTTTCAAATCTCAATAAATTTGGTACTAATTGCTGGCAAAGGTTAGTCTGAAAAATGTTAGTTATAATAAAGATTTTTTAAAATTATGAAGTTAGAAATTAGAAAATTAACAGCTATATTTCTATAGTACTGGTAAGATTTCATTTTGAACTACCTACTTAAAAATATATGAATTATTTAGAATGCTGACATTCAAATGCTTTAAATCATTTATGAACATAATGAATAATGTAGAATGTTTAGCATCAAAGAAAGTCTTATCTCAGTTGGAATAAGTCTTAATGGCCTGAGGAACAGTTTGAAATGAGCTACAAAGTACTGAATAAATTATCATAGTTAGGAAAGGACAAATAAAATGATTTAATTCTATTTTAGTCAGTCTTTGTTTCCACTCCCAAATGCTCAGTGGCTTAAAACAGCAACTGTTTTGTTTGTTCACAATTTTGTGGTAAACAGTATGACTAGTTAGTTCTTCTGCTAATCTCACTTGGGGTTTCTTCAATGATTGTACTCATTTTTGACTTGAGCTGAGTAAACTCTCTAATCTCAGTTGTGTAATTGGCAGTTTAAATGACAGTTGACTTGGCTGTATGACCTTGCCAGAAAAACCTTAGAGTTATATGTGGTAGTAACAATCTTCAAAAAAGTTTGTAGCAGAAATTTCAAGACTTCGTGAAACCTATGCTTACAGTCCATGTAGTATACATTTACAGTAGCACAAAAGGATGAGTACTTCAAATAATTTTAACCAAGAAAATGAAAAGCTTCCACACTGAAAACTATAAAACATTGTTGAAATAAATTAGTCAACCAGTATATAGAAGGACATTTCATGTTATGGATTAGAAAGCACAATATTGTTAAGATGTCAGTGTTGTCCTAAAAAAGATATAGATTTAATGCAGTCACTATCAAAGTTCCAATGACATTTTTTACATAAATGGAAAAATTCTTCTTAAAGTTCATGTGCACTTAAGGATGTCAAATAATCAAAACAATCTTGAGGAAAAAATATTAAATTAGAGGTTTATACTTAATAATTTTAAAACTTACTACAAAGCTATAAAACTCAGACAGACACACAGAAGGCCAATGGTAAGGAAAAGAGAGCTCAGAAATAAACTATCACATATATAGTCAAGTGCTTTTTGACAAGAGTACCAGTTTCATTCCATGAAAAGGAAACAGTCTTGTCATCAAATCATGCTGAGAAAACTGAATATACACATGCAGAAGAGTGAAATTAGTCCCTAAGCTTATATATGAAAATTAATGCAAAATGAAACAAAGATCTAAACATAAAAACTAAAACTATAAAACTCCAAGAGCATAGGGGAAATGAAATGACATTGGTTTTTGACAATGATTTATTGGATATAACACCAAAGTGCAAACAACAAAATTAAAAAAATAGATAATTTTAACTATACCAGCATTAAAACTTTTGGCTACCAAAGCACAGTCAACAGGGTAAAAGACAGCTCATAGCATGGAGAAATATTTGCAAATAATATATGACATGAGGTTAAGATCCAGGATATATAAAAGATTCCTTCAACTAGACAACAATAACAAAAAAATAAACCACCCAACTTAAAAATGGGCAGAGGACTCACGTTCATTGCAGTACTACTTACAGTAGCCCAGTAATAAAAACAACCTATGTGCCCAACAACAAGAGATGAATTGGTACATACATACAGTGGAATACCACTTAACTATAAGAAAGATATTGCCATTGGGGACAGCATGGATGGAAAGGAAAGCCAAAGTCCAGATGATTTCACTCATGTGGACTACAAAGAAATAAAGGAATAGCTGAAACTAAACCAAAAGAGACCCTAGAAACTTGACTATAGAATTGAGGCTACCAGAGGGGAAGGGTAGGATGGGGTACAAAGCAGGGTGAGGGCAGAGTAGAACATGGCGGACAATTTTGAGTGTTTGTGTGGTGGGCATGGTGTGGTAACACATCTGAGGAGGTGTAAGTCTTTGCCATAAAATCATATACAGTGGTGTCAGTCATTGTTACTTACCTCAGTGCAAAATAAAATTGTACACTTTTTAAAAAATGGGCAGAGGAGTCCAATTGATAATCTGCAGAGACAGTATACAAATGGCCAATGAAATGGACAAAGAAAAGATGCTCCTTTACCACTAATCATTAGGAAGATGTAGAATTATGTTGCAGAAGGCCCTTTGGAATGAAAGAAATTGCTGTGATCATCTTTGCAAGCAGCCTGCCTTAAAAATTGCCTTGCGGGCCCTCCCTGGTGGCGCAGCAGGTTAAAGCACAGCACTGAGAAGCTAAAGCCACTTCCTCATGAGTTCGATTCCTACCTGCCCCGGAGGAGACCACATGGTGTGGCAGACCTCTCCTGACCCCTCAGCAGTGTACTTCGTCCATCTGCCTCTTCTGCTCCCCACTCTGTCTCTGGTGAAGCCTCTAGCCTCCCCTGCACCTCTGGTCTGTACCCCAGATCTGTATGCATAAATAAATAAATCTTTAAAAAAAAAAAAAATTGCCTTGCGGGCCCTCCCTAGTGGCGCAGCGGGTTAAAGCACTGCACTAAGAAGCTAAAGCCACTTCCGCATGAGTTCGATCCCTGCCTGCCCCAGAGGTGAACACATGGTGTGGCAGACCTCTCCTGACCCTCCCGCTGCTCCCCTCAGCAGTGTACTTCGTCGATCTGCCTGTTCTGCTCCCCGCTCTATCTCTGGTGAAGCCTCTCACCACCCCTGAGCCTCTGGCGTGTACCCCAGTTCTGTATGTACAAATAAAATAAATCTTAAAAAAAAAAATTTGCCTTGCTGGTAGTGCAAGGGGTTAAGTCTCAACACTATGAAACTATTGAAAGCCACTGCAGTGAGTTCCATCCCTGGCCAGGGAGCTGACCTATATGCTGCAACAGATCTCTCCTGACTTGTCCACTGCTCCCCACAGTTCTTACCTATACCCCAGCTCTTGTATGAATACATAAATAAAAAAAAGTCATAATTAAAATTCAACATAAATTAGAATATTAAATTTAGGAAATTTAGCTACACACATACAGACTTCTTTGACTGCAGAGCTCTACTATCCTTTTTAGAATCAGTTTTGTGAATCAAATTTTCCTGGGGCCCACTCTTCAAAGCTTTTGGTAATGTTTTCAGCCTTCTAATCTGAAAACTCCAAAATTTGTTCAAAAGCATTTAACTTAACAACAAATGTTCTGTTTTCTTCTTTAGGACATGCTATGCATTGTTTATAATACATACATTTTAATATATATATGTTTATTTGGTTAAAAATACAAAGAACAAATTGTTAAATATAATTCAGAACAGTAATTCAAAGGCTTAAGAATTATTGCTGTGGTTGTGTATAAAAAGGAGACACAGTAATGGGCTATTCTACTTTCTGAAATTATATTATGGAGGGGAACTTGGTTTAAGCATTGAGAGATGGAGAGCCAGAAAGAGGGAAATCCAGAACTACAAAGAATGATGTAAGTAGTGAAAGGCTTAGAGACAGGAAACCATAGATGTAAAAAACTTTATTTGGAACAATATGGGAGATAAAACAGAAAAGCAGGTCGGGTTCATATTGTTACAGACAGGGAGAGAGGGACACCCCTGAAGCCCCAAACCTGCCTGCTCTAAGTGGCCATCCGCTGCATCAAGAGAAAACATATAAAACTTTAATGAAAAGGGACTTTAATACAGTGAGTATACAATACGGAACACAAAGAATATAACTTCTAAATCAAACACCTGAAGTT